GCGAAAGAAATTAAAGGAACCTACAAAACTTACTGCAGCTCTTAAGATATCTTTATTACAAATTGATTTGATATTTAAGTGGCAGGTCACTGCATGTGACCTTAGAGGTCCGGTTACGTAATGTTTGTCCTCTTGGCAATACCAACACACAAGACGATAAGACGATGGTCAAGAGAATAGGTATGTTCTTTATAAATTTCTAGACTATGTACTTATTATGTTTTCGGATTACTCTTACCGTTTGACAAGGACCAAGGCGCGACAGTCGCCGCGTCGTGTGCCGCGGCGGCGGAATGTTACTCATCAATATGAGCCTCTAATATGACTTAAAAGTAGTCGAGTTCCTTCTTAGATGGTTACGTGAGTAAGTAGAAAACATAATAATTAATTTAGTATGTCTTACGACGGTTATAATATAAACTACAAGACTACTCATAAACAAAGTTATTACTCTCTTTTATTCCTCGAAATCCTTCGGGGTAAGGTGCACATACTTAGGCACTTATTATAACACCAACCATTTGCTAGGTATGTTATGAATCCTAGTTAATAAGGGACTGTTCCTTTAAGTTCGGACAATACAAAAAGTGTCGATCCAGACTCCTGAGCACTACTTAGGAATTTCCAAATAGCAAAAAAACCTAGTAGGCAACAGGAACTTAGCCTGTCTTGAACTTAAATGAAGTAACATTAATTCCTCTTATGTCTATTAAACTGTCAAACACCAAGTGCTCACCGGTGACCGCAACCTATTGTTCTTTAACTGTGTCTATAAATACGGTACTCGACGAGTTAAAAACACCAAGTGGTCACCGGTGACCGCAACCTATTGTTCTTTAATTGTGTCTATAAATACGGTACTCGACGAGTTAAATTCGTAGTATTATCCCTCGTAGACACATCAATATTGTGAAATAAATACAGTGTAGTGTAGATAATGCTCCCAACTCCCAAGCTATAACTTTGATAGCTGATGATGAAGTAAAGTTAATCCTGATGATACTAGATAATCTCTTCATCCACCTGGCTTTTGGGGTTATGTTGAAATTTTCCAACACACTAATGGCCACTTATCATTTGTGTTGTTAGCCATTTATCATCCGATAGCCGTCTGATACCGTTGTGCTATCATATTACGATGTTAAACTTAATAGGCCGTGAAATTGCTTTCCAATTCCGTTTATCCGTATGAAAATTGTGGGAAACTAAATTGTTTGGTATGCGCAATAGTTTTAGCGATAAACTTCCTTATTGTATGCGTGTTAGAGCAGATTTATGTGAGGTATTCGTTTAACTTGTAAGGTTGAATTTAATTATAGTGGTTTTATTAGTAAGTTAGTTATATTTGCTCGTATTTGCTCTCGCCTCATATCACGGTTTATTTTCGAAAAACCTTATATGCGTAAGATTTGTTCCGAATTTCTTGATCATATTCCTTATATTTTTACATTTTATATTGGTTTTCATTGTCATTTTCGCTGTTATAAGTATGTTAAACCACCACTAAATTAACAATTTTATTTGAATAGACTTCCGAGTTAACAATTGACATTTATGTATTTTAGGAGGAATGCTCAAGAAACAATAACGCTCATTTTTCTCACTTATCTTAACTACTCATTTAAATAAAAAGGAAACTAATTACACATTAGTGACGTCATACTAAAAATGACAAGGAAAGCAACATGACGTTATCTCCTTCTACACTAAAGAACATATTTTTTTGACCAAATCTGCTGAATTCGAAACACGAATTAATAAAAAGAGAAAAACAAATGACATGCCAGTTACGTCACACTTAAAATGACAAGGACATCATTATATCGTTGTCTTGTTCTACTTTATGAAAATATTGTTTAACCATTTCACATAGACGCTTTAGTCATTTATTGGTATATCATTCGTTAAGTATTTTCTGGTTAAATATTATTATGCAATGTAAAATTTCAAAAAAACATTAAATTAATGTTGGTAAATACTTAAGTAGTGTGTATGGAATTTCCTTTGGGTTTCTTACTTCATCAGTGTTACTTAGTGAAATAGGGGTTCTTACATAGATATATACTCCAACAAAAGCGTAAACAACCAATTTCCCATTATCTAAGTGACAATGACTTATATATTAATAAAAATATATTTATTTATTTATTCATAGATTCGACATTAGGGTGTGGCTCAATGGATCGATATCTACTTCCCCATATGACACGGCTCATCGTCCCTCATCTTTATTTCATTGGCTATTCCTCAAATACTCTTATTAGCCTCGTAATGCTGGGATAACATAATCAGAAGTCTATTTCATAGAGTTAATGCTGGTCGAATATTTGTTTGTTGAAAGATAGAAAGAAAATTGGTAAGAAGTAACATATTAAATGTGTTTTAGAATCGATCTTATTACAATGGTATTAAGGTACATAATTTTCGTCAGTAAGGAGATAATGTGGGTAATGAAAAGAGTATCAACTCTCTGTTTTTGGTATTTAAAGATACGAAATGAAAAAAATATCCAGCTAAAGTTAAACTTAAAGTACATTTTTGTTCGTTTAGCAACAATATCATTTCTATTCTCGTAAACATAACGATGACAGTTACGTGTAGGTATAGTACATCCTTATTATAATATTATAAATCGGAAAGTGAGTTTGTTTGTATGTTTGTTTGTTCCGACTTCACGCCGTAACTACTAAACCGATTGCATTGAATTTTTGCAGACGTAAAGTTAGTAGTCTGGAATAAATAATGGGGTACTTTTTATCTTGAAAAAATTTAATATTCCCTAGGGAAAACAAAAGTATTGGTATAGATGGCGCTGTATGTATTGGTATATGTCACATAGGCTACTTTTTATCCTTTTGTGACGCGAGCGAAGCCGCGGGTAAAAGCTAGTAGTCAATAACTACAAAGATTGACGACGACGTTGAATTTGAAATTAAACTGTCGTTACGAACTACAAGATTTAATTTTGTACAAACTGCTGTAGAAGTAATGTAGTAAAAGTTGGCAACAGTTAGGAAAAGAAATTCAATACAGCGAAGAGCTGACATGGCGCCGTAAGTAGGTACTGAGGTACATACGAGTACCAGGTAATCGGGAGAGCACGTGACGGGAACGATATAACTTGACGCAGAAAAGATAGTTACAGAAGACTAACTTCGCGTGTAGTGCATTAACTGTATACTTAGTGGTTTTTAATGAAGGGAAAATATTATCATGGTCATCTTAGAGAAAGTAAGCGGACTAAGAGGAGGCAGTCCACTTAGACTTTTCATCAGTGTCTTGAAAAATGTCCATAAAACTGCGTGCGGCTAGAGAGAATTTTATTAAAACTTATGCTCAACAATAATTGACTCACAACCACAAGGCAGTTTCGGCTGGTAAACAGATTTTTTTTTCTTGCATGACAACCTACCGAGTCTCCAATACAGTAAAAATTATATGAACCAGGTAAACTTTTAAGAAAACCGTCTATTAGACATTTAATTTTTGTTCACTTAATATTTAATTACTTTCTAATTGTAAAAGCATTCGAATTAATTTATCCGCCCACAGCCTGAACTGGTGATGCGGACATTGCGTAATAAATTATGAACCTTCTGCATAATTTACCACCCAGTGTCAGTTCACCGGTTTAGACCCTACACCGACCATCGGAGTTAATTTGTCAGACCAAACTTTGAAATCGAAACAAGGTGAATTGGATTCGACAGTACCTATCACTTCACATCTTTATCTCAACCACATCTGGTCAAACAGGAAACTGACTTGTTAGATAATAGTTCAAGCAATTTGTAGTCAATTGAAGGAAATGGGTTATTATTATGAATGTTCCAGCGAGCCATTTGTGACCAATTGCTTGTTCGAAACTGCCATGACAGATTGTGTTGGTCTAGACTTTAGTACATGTGTTAATCAAATACTTATAGACTGTTGAAGCACTTTAGTAGTAGATAGGTAAGAACTAAATAAATAAACGATAGATATTACAATTCAAAGACGTAAAGTACCTACATAACAGTTGATCGCACATAGAGATGAGAAATGTGATCTTACGACCCATAAAGGTATTCAGTCCCGATTGTCATGCCTTTAGAGATCGACGTCATCGATTTAAATAATGGTTTTCAGTCGATTTTCCAACAATGAGGTTGATTTTAATTGATTACTTTTCAAGCCATTGCTTTTCAAGGAAGAACAAACAGAAAAATCTGTTTCGTTTTAATCGTAAAATATGTCTGTAGCGGAACGAACGGAAGGTCACCGTTTTGTAGTGTGTTTGTAATTTGTAACACACTGGCGCAATTACAAACACCCGTTTAATTGACTGTCATAATTAGCTAATCCGTGATTATTTCGTCTGTAAACAGTTTTGATCGAGTTTAATTAAGTAACCAAACATTTCCGATTTGGATTTCGGATTTCCTCATCAAATTATATTACGTTTTGATACCTCGAAGGGTAGAAGTGAATATGTTACATGTAATACCTATTTTCCATTAGAGATCCATGTAATAAGGGGTCCTGTCCTAAGTCCCGATCCAGGAATATCATCCAGACTTCTAGTTTAGTTATTACATTTATTAAATACCACACGCGCTATTTGAGTAGGTAATTGAATTTCCTCAATGTCATTAAAATATAGGCGAAGTATTTCGTTATTTATGGATATTGTAACATGTTAGATTTGGAATGCGGCGGTAAAGAACAGTTAATGGGCCAAGGGCTTCGCTCCGTTATAATGCCAGTCAGGTATTTATGCGTTTCTGATAACAAAACCACTCGACTAACTAATGAAGGAGACATGCGTTTTATCTGTTTATGAGTTACTTGTATCAGGAAAATAGTACGGTCGAATGAGGTGACATGTATTGTGACGCATTCACTACATTTGTTATATGGTTTGGTCTATTGAAGTGTGACATTGAACGATGTAGTGTATTGATGATACATACATGTATAGCGTAAACTACCTGCTTACAAACTTGTGGGTTTTGACTGACCGAGAATGCTGCACTGCGGTACCGACCAGCTGTTGTAAACTTGAAGCCAAATCTGCATATTTTCATTGTTTGCCGACCCAATTTGTTACTCCCTAGCCAGCACTATCCGAAAACTTTAATACCTGTTCAAATTATTGCTACCTGTTACCGTTCAAAGTTCAAATACAAATAAGTTTCTTATTGATTCGCAGCAAAAAGAATGAATAACAAAAACGTATTTATCTAGTTTTTCGCATGACGGTTTGCTTTTTTTAAAGCGCCATTAATTCGTTTCCTGTACTCGAGAAGTTATACAAAAAGAATAGATAAAAGAAAAAGACTATAGTGGGCCATTGTCAATAGGAATAGGAGTACGCATAAACACACATACATACATATAATAGAGCAGTCACGTATTCTTTGTAGTTCTTGCATAAATCATTTGCTTAGTGGGGGACAATGAGCGTCAATAATGTCACCATCTACATGACAAAACAGGGGTTGTAAACTATGTCACACAAATGGAAATGTTGCGAGCGCATGCCCATCTTTGTGTATCATATACATCTCGACTAAACACACATGTTTTCACAACAATAGCTCTTAAACCTACTTTATATGCAATTCGCTTATTATGTTTGAAAATTATACTAAAGGAAAAGTTGGAATTAAAGTCAGGCGTAGCATAATATACGTTGAGTAGCAAGTTTAATCCTGTAGCCACATTCGCGAATGTATGACTCAAGAAGGAAATAAGGCAAATATGTACTGTTGCTATACTCGTCACGCTAAGAAAACTTTTCTCCGACTTTGTTATTAGTCCCTTGTCATAGCAATTGTCTCGTAATAAGGAACCATTCTCTTGACGCTCTTGAACTCTGGGCCGCCATTAAGAATTTCGGAACCGAAAATGAAATCATATTTTGCCTAACTTCAGAATGAAAGTCATGTGTGAGTAATACCTATCCTTTTTGCATTTGCTATCAATGTTTCTTTTTTTTTAACTTTGCTCCACACTAGGATTTTCTCCTGGCGTGGTGGGTGCGTTTATAAACATACAAGTTCACGTCAAGAAGAAATTAAAAAGTGTAATAAAAACATTAGGAAAATATGGGCCAAAATTAATTCTTGGATAGGAAAAAAGAAAAATAGAGTAGATTCAGTGATATTAAAATATCTAGGAAGGACGGAAAGTATAAATAATATTTGTAATAAATTTTCAGAAACATTTACAAAAGAAATTTTAGATGCAAAACATATTTGTAGTCATAAGTTCTTAAACAGATCTACCTATGTCAATAAATGTACCATGTCAATACGGTTTCAAAAAGCCTACCCGAGGGATGTAGATAAATTAATTAATGCACTGAGCACTGATAAGTCTGAAGGTATTGATAAAATTAGAGTTAGAGAAATAAAGTTGTTTAAAACCAAACTGAGCCCTATAATAGCGTTATTCATTAACTTATGTGTTGAAAAAGGCTTGTATCCTGATCAATTGAAAACTGCATTAATAAGACCTATATTTAAACAAGGATCGCACAATGATTACTCAAATTATAGGCCAATAGCGATACTATGTGTTATAAATAAAATTATGGAAAAGTTCATTATGAATCAGGTCAGTGTTTTTCTTGAAAACAACAATATATTGTCTAATGCACAGCATGGTTTCCGACGTGGGCGGAGCACGGCAACGGCATTGGCGCAGTTTGCGGACGATGTTAATGAGTGTTTGGGACAGAGGAAGCAAGTGGTGGTGGTCTACATAGATTTCAAAAAAGCTTTTGATACCCTGGAGCACCACCAGCTGCTTCAAGCAATGCGGGAATGTGGTGTCGCGGGGCCACTTAACAGGTGGTTCCGTGCCTACCTTACAAACCGGACGTTGCAAACGGTTATTGACGGAGTCGTTGGAGAACCCAGAAACGTTGCATGCGGTGTGCCAACCGGGTCCGTGTTTGGTCCGGTCGGTTACATCATGCATGTCAACAGTATGTGCAATGTGGTTCGAAACTGCCGCATGTACATGTATGCTGATGATACCTGCTTGGTGTATGCAGATAATGAACTTGATGTTATTGAAAGGTATATTCAGGAGGATTTCATTAATGTAATTAAATGGGCGCATGATAACGGGATCGTAATAAACATAAAAAAAACTAAATGTATGCGTATACGATCTCCTTATCTTAAAGTCTGTGAACGTCCGCCTCGCGTGGTGGGGCATAGCTATGAATGCCTGCATAACGAAGATGCGGCGTACTGCGCTTGTGCAAATATTGAGGTGGTGGAGGAATACAGATACTTGGGTTTAGTAATAGATAACAGCTTTTCGTGGAAAACACATATTACACTCCTTTGTGACAAACTCAGATTAGTGCTTGTAAAGTTCCACCACCTCAGTTTTGTACTGGACAGGGGCACTTTGTTTACGGTTTACTATGCACTGGTGGAATCGCTGCTTTCGTATGGACTGGCATGCTATGGTAATACATTTAAATCATATCTGGATAAAATAAAATTATTACAAATTAGATTTATAAAACTATTAGTAGACAAGAACACAAAAAAACGATGTAAAAATAGTGATTATGAAGAATTATTCTTAGAATGTAAGATATTGCCGATCCATCAAAAGGTGGTGTTATTACTGGCCATAGACAATTATTGTAAAGATGAGTTTAAAATCAAAGTGGTAAACAAAAGACCCCAAAGAGAGAAAATAAGTAAAAAATTTATAGTACCTACTACTGTTAACTATTATGGGCAAAGATGTAGAAAATGCTTAGTCCCAACAATATTTAATGATATTCCAGACTATTTGGAAAGTGAGTGTACTACAAAACTTTCCTTCAAAAACAAAATGGTTAAGTTCCTTCTCAACAAAGATTGTTAAGGTCTCCTTTCCTGTTTGGAGATATATAGATAAGTTTATGTCCTACTCAAACTACTTACCTGATAGAAAACTATTATGTGTGAATTAGAATGTCAAAGGTTCTTTTTTTATAGTAATTTTATATAGTCGTATTATTTAAGGGAGCTACATCTGCCAACAAACTGTTTTGCAGTTTGGCAGAAGTAATATTGTATTTTTTCCAACTATGTTTCTTACCTTGAATAAACGCTTCATTCATTCATTCATACATACACAATGACACCCAGACCCGAAACAACAATTTGTACATCACACAAAGTGTTGTCCGTACGGGAATCGAACCCGCGACACGTTGCACGGCAGCCGGTTTCCCAGCCACCGCACCAACCGTACAGTCAATGTATAATGAAGCTGTCGTCGTCATGGATCAATCTAGTTATCGGCGAAAAAGAAAAAAAAAATAAAACAATTAGTACCTACTGCCTACCAATCTAGACGCGTAACGAAACTCAGTCGATGCTTTATTTTTTCAATTACAATTAATTTTGTTTTTCGGTAACTAATCTAAGCCCAGTTTCCATTTTTAGTTCGATGTCAATTGTAATATAAAAAATTATTAATAACTTATAATAATTAATGAAATTCAAGAGTGTATTACATTTATTTTTCATATTAAATTGCGTAAGAGGATATTTCTGATGAGCATGCATGAAAAGATTGATGACTGTTGAAGTGTTGATGAAGCGAAAGAGATATGTAGGAATCGTAGTAATTGGCGTTCCATAGTCTCTGCCTACCTCCACGGGAGACAGTCGTGAAGTTATGTATGTATGAAGATATATAAGAAGATATGTAAGATGACCTTGCCAAGTTAATATTATTTGATTAAAAAAAGTAGGTACTTAGCTAGTACAGTCATACAGTGGATGCCAAAAATATTTTTCACGAACATTTATAAAAGTGTAAAAAAATATAAAGTTCTTTTTATTTCAGTGTTTGTCCTATCGCCCAGCTTAATTAACTATAAATTATTAATTTTCGGAGGGAGTGTTGTCACCTAAGTACTAAAAAATTATACTTAATGACTGTATATTGAAACTAAGTAACGATAAGTATTTGATGTCGAGTATCGCTTGAACTTTGAGCTACTGAACCGATAGTAATAGGACTCCTAGAATTGTCTAGACAGGTAAAACTTTAATCCTAAGGTAAGCGAACGGACTTGCAAATAGGATATCTTTTTTAAACTTTAACAAAATAATATTCGTTTAAGTATGTCCAGTGTAAAGGTGGACATATTATGATCGTATGAATGGCGCAGGGTGCCGCTGGAGGCAGCTTCCCACCGGCTCATCTGGAAGTTATTAGGGAAAGCCCTACGTTCACCAGAGTGCTTCTTGTGGCTGACTTGATACCGATTCACTTAGCTTTATCATTATACTTGCTTCTGCTAGCAGCTTCGCTTGCATTTCCGTGGTATGAACGTTAGTAAAACAAGGTAGCCTATGTTTTATTTCAAACCATAACCTATCTCCGTTCCAAATTTCAACCCGATGCGTTCAGTCGTTTTGAAGTTATTGCGTAACAAACACACACAAATGAACTCACAAAAAATCGCATTAATTATATTAGTAAGTAAGCTTCTATATCTTAAACACTAGCTACTTGTGCGCGGTTTCACATGCTCTGCTCAGCTCCTATTGGTCGTAGCGTGATGTTTTATAGCCTATAACCATCGTCGATAAATGCGCTATCCAACACAAAAAGAATTATTCAAATCAGACTTGTAGTTACGGAGATTAGCGCGTTCAAACAAACAAACAAACAAACTCTTCCGCTTTATATAATAGTATAAAATATAAGATATGATGGGCACCTGGCAGTCAAAGTCGTGATTTTTGTCACCTTCGTGGATTTTTTGTGGCTATATTTTCACCTTACCTACGGATTCGAAGTCACATCACGTTAGTCACAAATCATGTGGGTATTGTAAGGATCACATTGCTTTTTACTGACTGGTGCTGTCTCATATGTGTTTACGTTATGATTGAACAGTCTAAGAGCGGGGTAAAGTGATCTTTATGGAAATGTACAATGAGTAACCAGCGATTCTTTTAAAGGGCAGGTAGATAGAGGAATGATACTGTTGTCAAAAATGAGCAACTTCCAGACATCGTTAGGACTACAAACCCTAAATAAAACTTAAATT